AAGGCCCATCACTTAAGGCCACATCAGAGGCTCTGTTGTTATTGTCCCTGACCAATCAGAAAGCCCTTTATCCCACCTATCTTCAAAGCTTTTATACCTCTCTTGATAAGCTAAAGCACACTCCTGCAACATCAACACATCTCCCTCTCTCTGCTGGAGGTAATCAAAGACAGACTGGCATTTAACTCTGTCGTTGATACCTCTGGTGTTAAAAGAAACTATGTTTAGACCCATTGTACATAAGGAAGTGAAACTTTTCCCACATTTTCTTTTTCCTACCTACATCTCTAGTCTTACATTCTGCAATAACTCAGCCAACACTTATTCCCCCAAAACTGCCAATGTTAATTGGTTTAAATCACAAATATCATTTGTAAATACCAGCCATGTAGTACTCCACATTGTGGATTAATAGTTTCTTTTAAAGGGTACTAGAGAAAAGAAAGGCTTTTTTAATAGAATTAATAAATGCACATCCTGTTCACTGGGGTATTTAAATCCACACTGAGCAATCTCCAATATGTTCAGAATTTGACAGCCAGAATCCTGTATTGCTTTGAGATGCCACTTTTAAAGGTGCTATATAAAAAAGTAATATATTTGTCATATATTTCAAGTATATATTTAAAGTAATAAATTAACAGTATATGTAAATATTTTATTATATGTCTTGGTTGTAAATGTCTGTAATATGTCTGTAGATTGTATCTTATTTTTATCTTTTGTTTTGTTTCATGTTAATTTTATTATTTTTATTTGCTTTGGCAACGCTGACTGTACTCATCAGTCATGCTAATAAAGCACCTTGAATTGAATTTAATTGAAAGACAGACTGAGAGTGAGAGTGTGAAAGAGAGAGAACGAGTGAGCTCCAGGGTAAACGTCCGCAGTGTAAATCAATATCTACCTTTGATTCCTTCGTAATTTTAATCGTTTTTTTACCAACAAAACCACATAACCATTGTCTCAATCCTAAAAGGAAAACCGGAGCTTTAAAAAAACATTCACAAAATTAATTTTTATCTGATAATGCACTTCCAAACTTCCAAAATGCATCGATTCCGTAATCAATAAGCCTGCAAAATAAGACCGCAAAAGCAAAAACCAGCAAAACATATATCACATTTTTTTACCTTATTCTGAAGCATGATATATATCTACAGAAGCCTAAACTAGCTCATCTCCAGAACTGGAGGCTACTGAACATTATTGATTTAGTAGTAAATGTTTGAAGCAGAACTGTCAGAAATAAGCCGATCTGTTTGGTAAAAAGTGCTGTCATTCATTATATTTTCAGCCATTCAGAGGCCTTAGGGAGTAAAACTTCCTCTAGCTGTCAAACATTGACTCAGAAGGGGTAATCAATCGGATTTTTATCATTTTCTTATCAGTGCTCCTTTCAGTACACCAAAAGGCATCAGAAGTTCAGTACACCAGAAGGCACCAGAAGGCAACTCTGAGTTTTCTTTTCATTACATAACAGCAGATAAAGCTCTCTAGCAGTGTCTAAAGGTTTTTATAGCAATTGTAATGGTTTTTATTGTTATTATTTTCAATATTTTTATGATTTTTATTATATGCGTGAACTTTCATTCCAGGTCCAGTCTTCACAAAACATTATGTTGAATTTTTTCTAATTGATCAATTTGTCCCAGATTTTTCTCCAAACTCGTAGTCACCAAGAACAAAGTTTTCAAATAATTCCCAGAATATTCACAGGCCTAGAATTGAACTTTCTGACCTCTGATGACCAAAACAATATTTCTGCCTGCTGTTTGGGGGTTTTGTTCACATAAACAAGTGGACACATTAATGAGTGGACACATTAAGAAAAATTAAAAAATTGACCATTCACACTCAAAGCCAAGGGGGTTAGCTTCAATTTAAGACCTGAACCAGGCTCCTGCTATGTTCTGCTGCAGATATAACAAAATGTTTAAGGGGTGGAAATTCCAGGCGGACATTGGCTAAATTGATCTCTAAGTGTAAAGTGCTATGGGGAGGAATGCATGAAGCTACTCTCACATTTTTATGAAAGCCATAGTTTTTTAAATCTTTTAAATCATGGCTGCTCCTACAGTTGAAAGGTCTGCATAAAGGACCCAAAGAACCTAAACGTTTCACAGCTCAACGGCAAAGTATCCATAGATTTTGCAAGAGCTATTTGAATCAAATGGCTTTTTTATTCCTTTTTGGGAACAAATCTATAGCAAACAAATTATGCCTAGGGATGTTGTTTTACAGCAAGAAATTATGTTCTGTCTATACAACTGAAACACATTTTGGAGTACTTTCACAATGCTTTTAAAAATGCCCACATCGTTATCGACAATGAAAATGTCTCTGGAATAGGCATAGTGTATAAATGCTAAAACGGAGGCTTTGGAGAAAAAAAAGTCTCCGCGGGAGCACATCTGCAATGTGTTTGACATATACAGTAAAACGTTACATCTCTGGAGGATCGAGTACATATCCAACAGTGTGACCTCATGTGGGGGCTGCTGTGCTGGCTGTGCCGGCTGTGCCAAAAAAATAAAGCGCCTTTTTTCATTCAATGAGTGTCTGAGTCACTGTGTCCGTCCTCGCCAAACCTGAGAATACCACAATATTATAAACCCCCTTAGGCTGGGCAAACAATTTTTTAAATTTTTTGAAAAATAAATAAATAATAAAGATATAATGCAAAGGAACAAGTACTTTGTTTATTCCATGCTGAAAAAAAAGAAGAAAGAAAACAACGTTTCGGCCGTGGAGCTCCTCAAAGCGCTTTACAGGTAATGGGGACTCCCCTCCACCACCACCAATGTGCAGCATCCACCTGGATGATGCAACAGCACCCATAGTGCGCCAGAACACTCACCACACATCAGCTATCAGGGGGGAGGAGAGTAGAGTAATGTAGCCAATTCATAGAGGGGGATTATTAGGAGGTCATGATTGGTAAGGGCCAATGGGAAATTTGGCCAGGACACAGGGGTTACACCCCTACTCTTTTCGAGAAGTGCCCTGGGATTTTTAATGACCACAGAGAGTCAGGACCTCAGTTTTATGTCTCATCCGAAGGACTGCGCCTGTTTACAGTACAGTGTCTCCGTCACTATACTGGGGCATTAGGACTCACATGGACCGTAGGGTGAGCACCCCCTACTGGCCCCACTAACACCTCTTCCAGCAGCAACCTTAGTTTTTCCCAAGAGGTCTCCCATGCAGGTACTGACCAGGCTCACACCTGCTTAGCTTCAGTGGGTTCCCAGGTTGCCAGCGTGACTTAATCCATCACACCACAGATGTAATCACATGTGAAGCAGTTAAACTGAAACATTACGCAGTGAAACATTATGACTTTTCACAAAGTATATAAATGTAATATCGTCAGAAGGAGCACATAAAAACATTTCCAAAATAACCACATGTGAGACTTTGATGCTTAAAATGTTTAGGAGGAAAGTGGAATACTGGTGTGTATTTTTTCTTTAAACCACAAATTCCAGCCATATACAATTTGTAATGTAGGGATTTCTATATTTATGTGTTTATTTAGTGGTTACATTAGTGACAAAGGCTAAACTTTCAACTTTAGTAATGCGTATGCTGTGTGGCCGACATTACATACATGTTTGTAATGACAATAGAGTGTCGATAATATTTATTGTCAGTAATAATATGTGTAGCAGTTTGAAATTATTTGTTGTTATTAATAAATTACTTAGCTTCGAACGTGTTGTGATATTTTGAAATATAAAAATGTCAGTATAGTGTCCATCTTTGCTATTTTAGTTTTTCAAAGAAATGTTTATTTGTTAAAAGAAAACTCATGGCGACAGCTAGGTTCGAATGCCAGACCTCAGGCTTATAAGGCACACACTTAAGCAGTAAAACTGAAGCACACATATCCATAGAAAGTAGTATAATGCACTATTGGAACTACAGTACATGAATGTATTTTAATGTACATTAATCAAATTCTAAAAGTATTTTTTTTTTTACTCCGATAACAAGCATATTCGCAGAAAAGGTTAAAACATTATGACTTTTCTAAAAATACTGTATAAAAACTTAATATGGTCAGAATGAGCAAGTAAAAATGTTTCTGAAATAACCAAATGTAAGACTTTTATACTTAAAATGCTTAGGAATAAAGTGGAATATTGGTGTGTATTTTTTCTTCAAACTACAAATACCAGCCATATACAGTTTACATAATATGTTTTTGTTCCTTAATTAATATCGTTTATGGTGGTGTTACTTCTTGTCAATGAAAAAATAAAGTATTTTCGTTTACAAAGAAAGTGGACCACAGTAATACTTAGAGCTTACAGGCTGTACAAGGTCATTCATTATTAATACTATTAGCAATATCTTCCTTAAAAACTTTGATGCATAAAATATTTCTGCATAATTAAAATATTTATGATAAAGGTGGTAGGTTGTGTCCTTTTGTCCAACTGAGCAATCTTGCTTTTATCAAATATACAGACTTTTTAATGTTTAAAGATTAACATGCTGTAATACACAGTTTAAAATTAAAAGTCTAAAGATTATACACCTTAAATTCTTAATTGGAAAACGTTTGTCCTTCAGCAGTGACCGGGATTCGAAACCAGGTGTTAATGGCGACAGCTTGAATGCTGTATATGAGAGATTAAGTTTTATTAGCTCCACCTCCATTCTGAATACTATTATGATAAATGTGGTATTATACTGTATGACGTGTTTTGACATGTTTTGATGTGACACGTCCACCGCATTTTACCGCAGCTTACCCCGTTCCTTTTGAATGGCTGCATCTGTATGTGCAGTATAATTATCTTTTCTGATAAAAGGCAGAGCATTGCCATTGCAATGCAATAGGAGAAAAACGTAGAGAAAAATAAAATAATAAAGTTATTTAGAATACCATGATGGCATTATGGTATGAGTTAATGTGCAGAAGACACTGGTTGTTCCCTTTTACTCAATGCAATTTAATTAAAATGTATTACAGAGTTAAATTAATTCACCTGAACTGTGAAACACTTCCATCTGTCCATTTGTAGAGTTCTGGGCAGGTAGTGAAGGAAGTGTGCTCTTGTGTTCCCCCATTTCTCATCAGTCCAATCCAGAAGTCTCCATCAAAAATCCCTGAGACTGAAGATGTCAGGTCTTGTAAAAGTTTTTCAATGGCCTTCTGCTCTGTCTCAGTTTCTATGCTCAGAAGAGCCCCACCTTCAATTTCACAGGCCTTACGTGCTTCCTCAAATGCCACTCTGCTGGACATTTCATTGAAGTAGGCAATCTTATAGCATGGATGCTTTGGTCCTCCATAACACAACTTCTGACCTGTAAAATTAATGAAGAATACATAAGAAAATATGTACCATGATGGCATATTTTAATTTCTCTGTCAAGTTGTTAAATAATTTTCCATGTGCATTACCTTTAAACTTTATTTATTTTAGAGATAATAACAGAAACTATCCAGTTAATTAAACTATTAAATTAAATAAGCAAAAATAAAAAAAAACAAATGCCAGAAGTCACTGCAGTCTTTAGGTAATGATGTTTGAGACCCCTGTTTTAGAATTTCTCATGCTTTTTTCTAAACAAGCAAATCAGTGTAGTTGTTAATAGAGTGTTGATTATGTTATCTTTTGAAGACATCTTGGCTGTAAAGGCTCCGTCACAAGTAACTGTGATTTTACAAATGGAAATTAAAATTCTTCTATGCTTTCTGTGCAGTTGTTTGCAACTGTATTTTGACAGAAACAATTCCATCCATCTATTTTCTATCTGCTTTATCCATAACAGTGTCATAGGGGAGCCAGAAAATATCCCAACAAGCAATTGGTGCAAGGTTGCCAGTCCATTGCTGACACAGCTACCCACCTGGATTACATTATTTAGTTTAACTTGAATGAATATGAATGAATTCATTATGTTCCTCGTACTGTCCATTTTTGTTCTGGGTCAGTTCTGCATAGTAGTACGAATCTTTTAATAAACAGAGAGTGGTATTGCCAAGTTTACTCAGTTCGCTGTTTTGAGTCGAGCCTGCTCAACATGAATGAACACGATGTGTGACTACTTTTGTGCAAGGATAGACGAGATGAATTTCAATTTCATCAAACTGCGAGCGTAGAATGAAAGATTCTTTAAAACATACCTGCCAACATGCACTTAGCCACTGGAAAGTACAGCATTAACAATAGAAAGCAAAACATCAAAAAGCAGCATCAATAAGTGAAAGCATTTTGACCACGTGTCATGTACCCAATGAGCGACATCACGTGAGGTGTCCCATTACCCTTTTCATAATGATGCACCCTCGAATACTGGCCCACTTGAAATCCACGCTTGCTCTACGTCACAGATGTGTGGACTTGGATGAAGGGCTTAAAGCATAGAGTGACAAATAAGGACACGGCCTAAATATCCCTTTCATAGCTAAAGGAACTTCCAAAATAGGTATAGCCTTGCCCCCCTCGGAACTTACCATTGTCCCATTAAAATGACCCAGATCCATATTTCAAATAAACTTATAATTTCCCCATAAAAATTAATTCATACTTTTTAAAGAAAAGAATATAAAGAATCTAAAAAAATAATGAAAACACAAGCAAAACATTTTACCCCTTCCAAATGTATTCGCAATAATGGTACTTCTTATTCTGAAAGATGTGCACATGCACCACTCAACATTGACATCACAAAGCCAAGCTGATCAAAGTGTTCAGGTTTGGACCCCATATACAGAAGTCAGACTACTCAAGGCGCACAGTAATAAACGACAACAAGAAAAAAGTAAGACGTCTGTACAGTCTTTTCTACAAGGAAAGGTACAAATAAATAAAAAAACAACATTATATTTGTGTGTGTGTGATTTCTTTACAAATAGCAATAACAGATTTAGAAGTAAAGTATGGTTATGTTAGTGTGTGTATGAAATGGGAAACTGCTAGACAATGCTGGTGTGCTATCTGTGTAGAGTTTGCATGTTCTCTCCCATTATGCATGATTTTGATCTTGGTGCTCTGGTTTCCTTCAGTGGTCCAAAGTTACAATGTTAGATTAATTGGTCTCAGCGAAAAATGGCCATGGAGTGAGTGTGTTCATGTCTGTGTGTGCTCTGTGATGGATGTTTAGCAAGAGGTATCCACTACTAGTCATACAAACGCTCAAACCCAAATGAAATTGTGAATCAGGAATCTTTTTCATTTTCTCCAGAGCCAAAGGTTTCAAGTGGAATTCCTAATGAAATCTCTCTTAGCCAGAAAGGCAATCCTGATATGTTTTAAAGTTGAAACCAAAGTTCAAGTTTTCAATTGCCTGCAAAGAAAATAAATCTGATGGTGGTTTTTATAAAAGCATTGATCGAATAAAATAAGTTTGATTGAATTAATTTGCTATATTACTGCACATTTCTTTTTTTAATGTAATATAATGTGTTATTGCCTCATTGTCTAGATCACAGCAGTCCTTGGCAGAGTGCTCACACTGAGGCCCCAGTGAAACACAACCAACCCGTCCATGGAAGCTGCGAGCTAATCAGAGCACCTGATTGTAACCCTGGAAAACATACACCCAAGATCCCTGGTTAAGAATTGAATCTGGTGGTTTGGGGCAGGAGATTTAATCAGCACACAGCACACCACCCTGCCACTCTGTTTTGATTTTTTTTTACCTTGAATTAAACTGCCCTGCCAGTTAGGTTAATTGGCTTCTGGAAATATTGGTCCTGGTGTGAGTGTGTACATGTTTTGTGTCTGTGTGTCCTGAAGTGGACTGGTGTCCCATGCACTGTGTACACTGCCTTGTGCACGTTGTTTTCCAGGATTGGCTCTAACTCCCCTGTGACCCTGAGTCAAATGAAGCAGTTTGAAAATAGACGGATAAACAATTACACTGTAAATATAATTTATACCAAGATATACCCACATTTTCCTTTGTTTCTGTAATTCTGTTACTTGAATTATATAAACCTCGGGAAAGAGGTTCACTTTAATTATTATACTGTAAATACATTGAAAACAAAATATTAATTTGCTTTCATTTTCCAAATTTAACAATGTTCAGAAGAATGAGGGGTGATTATGACACACTGTACATATTCTAATGTTGCAGTAGTTACAAATTAATAATTTAATTTTAAAATGTATTTTAGTTAAATGTAAAAATGTTACAATTGCTGTAAATCATTGCCATTTAATTAAACATTCAAAAAACACATGGACTCCAATTTCCAAATCTAAGCATATTTCTTATCGGATCAGTCTTTTTTGTATCCTAGTTTAAAGCCTTGTTCTTAAGCTCCTTTGTGGACAATCATCTATGACAGCTATTTCTGTTAAATTAACCAGTTAAACAAGGACCATCGCTAATTACATTCCTTAGATATATTTTATGATCATGCATCTCATAAACACTGTGGTGTGGGGATAATTACTATGATTGATACATACACTGTTAAAAGTCTTATAATCACATTAGCTCACTGCCTAAGATGCACTTTAAATAATTGCAAGGACCAAATTGCATAATCATCACTTCATGCTTTTAAGATGAGAATGGACTCTCCAGAGCTCAAAGGTGGACTCAGCACTTTTTTCCTGCTGTTTAAGGCAAAGCCCTACGGGTGTCAGATCAGACCAATCCGATTGAAAAAACCTGAGAAATTAATCTCATTTAATGTACATTAAAATGTGTCAGAATTTGCAGATGTAGTAGAAAAGAGCTATCCAGAAAGCATTTCAAAATTGTATAGCTACCTCTTATCTTCAGTTCTTTAACACAAGCCTGATTGACAAGCCATCCATAACAGTTTTATATTTAGCTCTCCAGGTCCAGTGTTCCTAATCTTGATATTAACTGGGTGTAATGCAGGTTGGATTATGTTTGTACATGTTTATGTAGTGATCGTACATTTCTAATGTCAATGTGTTAACATTTATTCTAAAGAGATAATTAAAAAAAACAAGCTTGTGAGTCATATTATTTAATATTAATACTTTTATTTTGCATACAAATGAAGTCCCTTTTGTTTTCTGAACTGGTGTTTGCATGAAATTTGCTTATTTTGTTACAATTTTTTAATACGTTTTCTAATTTGAATGTGCACTAAATGATTGAAAGTTAGTTTTTTGTAAGTTATTATTGGTAGAGTTATGTGCTCTGATAGAAAAATATGTCTGCATACTGAAAAATTACTTTTCTTTAATGTTATTAAACATTTAATTATTTACTAAAACTAAAAATAGATTATCTAATTTTGAAGTCAACTTTTCAATTTAATTTCATTAGAAGTCATTATTTTGTGAGATTTAACTCATTTGTTATTTTATTTATATTTTATATTTATATTCACATTGTGCAATACAACTTTTTAGTGTACTGTTCTGTTCTGGTTTGTTCTTTGTGTGTTCTAGACTGTGAGTAACTCTTCTTAGTGCACTTCTCACTGTACTGATTGTACTGTATGTATTATATTATTATTATTGTATCATTTGTTACACTGTGGCTTGTGGTCTGTGTTAAGCTGCTGTTGCACTGCAATTTCCCTCATGAGATCAATAAAGTATCTATCTTATTTCATCACCATGTGATTGTCTGTCTCGCTAGAGGAATAAAAATTATGCTTAAAATATACTTTTTGATACATTTAGCTCTCATTTCAGTGCCATATTGACATAAAATAAGTTGACATTCTTCTTATACAGTGATTTTAGATTTCATCTTGCATATTATATCATAAAACTTAAGAACATGACAACACAACACAAAGAGAATGCTAAAGTAATCTATAAAATGCTTATTATGATTACCCCCATAGGTGCTATACCAGCCATACGGAAAGTCAAACATGAACTTTGTTTTGTATTTGCCAGAACCCAAGGAATACACTTATGATACAGTATGTTGTTTCATTATTCTAGATATTCTAGAAAGTCCACTGGGGTTCGGACATATATAATGTCCAGACCTGCACAAATCTCATTCTTAGATTGAACAATGTAGGAAAATAATGTAATGTTTTTTTTTCTATTTTTACATTATAATCGCTCATTTTAGAGTTATTCTTTTTATTTATGTTGCGTTATTTTTCTTCGGAAAAATTAAAATTTGCAGTAGTTCTTGGTAAATAGAAGGATGGAACAAAATCCATGAAGTTTTTTTTTTCTCAAATGCCATGAAAAATGGCATTTTAAGTATACATATATAAACTATATAAATTATAATATATATACTGTATATTTGTCTTAGACTTATGCTTTTCTATATATATACTGTATATCATCACAGTGGATTGCACAGTAGATTATATGTGAAATGCTCTGTATGATTCTTTGTTTCCAAAGCTCAAAACAACATTTAAAAAATGGAGTAATTTTAATAAATATACGAAAAAGGTATTTTAAATATTGCTTTGAATAATCCCATTAATTCTGAAATATATATATATCTTATTTATTTCTGTTTTTGAGATAATTTCAGTATGAAGAAAACATCAAGTCTGCTTGTTCAAGATTAATCAGTATGTGGTACCTTTCGCCTACTATGAGTGCTGTTTACAGTATGTATACTATGGGGTTTTATCATGTTTGCTACTGAAACAGGACCAGAGTGAAGCCTGTACTAAGGAAAAGAAACACATTTCATAACACAATCTCATCATCACATTTCCAATAATATTAGAGACTTCAATATTTATAATATAAGAAATTAGTTTACTACTTTCTATTTATCACAAATGTAGTTTATCAGCCAGTGGTGTATTATGAAATAACATGATCATTATTACATATTTTATATTTTTTATTTAAAAATTTAATTAGTCTAAGCATAAGATCGATTTAGCTTTACAGATATTGCAACAATGTTCTTCAACTATTGAATAAATATAAGATAATGCATCGGTTGTAGTTAAAATTATTTTTACAATTATTGGAATCATTTAAATTTTCACTTGAATGCAAAAAAAACTCAACTTGTAATAGTTTGTTGAGGAAACATGCAATGACATTCTTGCTGGTGAAAGAATATTACATTTTAGAAGACAAAAAGTTTTACAATACTCACCACTTACAACTCGGAAGCCAAAGCTGCCCTTAGTCATGAATACTACTCCCCATAATAAAAGGATCATTTTAAAATTACAACTCCTGTTCAGAGAAACAAA